AGAAGTGAATCCAGAGAAGTATCATACACATTTTGCTATGAACTTCAAGAAATTCAGGTTTTCTGCAAGAGTGGTGTGGTATTTGATTGACCGTGACAGGAATCATTTAGAGAGTTTTCTTCACAACTCCAACAGCAGATTTGTGCAACATGCATGCTATCAACTTCGTGAATATGTTCAGGCGCGTGTTGCAGTTTCTGATCCCTTGTATGAGATGATCAAGAAGGAAGAGTTTGAACGCCAATACAATTCCAAGTTTTTGGAGGCGATTTCTTGCTCTCGTGTTGTAGTTGAGCCTGTAAGTTCAGGGACGTATGAGCCATCATCGAAGCTGAACTTAAAGGTACTACAAAACATTCTGAAGGGTGTCTACAAGATCCAGAAGAATGAGGAGCTTGCCAGAGAACGTGAGGAAGAAGAAGAACAGGCAGCTCAAAACATCTCAAACTTGCTGGCAGATGATATGGAGCTTGATTTTGATGATGACGACGTACCAGTATGGCGCTCCATTGTCAACAAGTATAGAGAAGGTGATCAGGTGCTACAAAGAGAAGCAGTGAAGATTACTCATCTTTTCAAGGACAAAAAGGACAATGAGAAGGCAACAGAAGTTTTCAGTTCAGAGAGAACAGATTTTCATGAGACCTCAGAACCTCTTCTAAGGACCATGGGAGAAAATCTTGTAGAGGACTTGCTCACCAAGAATGTCGCAGAACGAGCTTTTGAGGCAGGTGAAGAAGTTCCTCCTTACACAAGAATCTCCACTATCGCTGGTGGAATCTACACTGGTAGTATGATGTTGACGAAAGATGAAGATATGGAAGAGGAAGCCCCTGAAGAAGATCCTGCAGTTGAACCTGAGAAAGATGAAGAAATGTTTGATGAGAATGCAGGTACTTTTCCTTCAGAGGGACCAAAGATGGAAGTTGACCAGGAGGAAGCCAAGGAGGAGTCAACACCACACTTTCTGTCAAGAGAGATAGGTGAGGACTCCGCTGCATCGTACTTACCATCAGGTGAGAAGGATGCGAACCTTGAGGATACTTCAGGTCAGCGGAAATCTGAGAAAAGCCGCCTGAATAAGATTCCTGATCCTCATTTTCATGAAGAAGTTCAGGATGATGCAACTCTTGAGGAGAAGAAGAAGGCGGTGAAGAAGATAAGGGAGGTCAGAGAGGATGATGGAGAGAAGAAATTGGAGGCCGAAATCCAAGAGTCTTTTCCATCTGAAGTAGTTGTTGATAAAGATCCTGTGGATGCTAACAATACCTATGAGTTGACTCACCTTTGAGGTTGCTTGGAGAGCTTACAGGAGATCCAGGTATTGGCTTTTATCAACTATGCTTCAGGGAAACTCACGCAAGATTGCTGAACCATGTTTGTTTCAGAAAAGGTGAGATTTCCCATCCTCATTATCAGTCGAGGATCAACGAGGATGATTTTGTTCGATCCATTCGAAGTGTCTGTCCAGTACCTCCACCTGATTGTTATGAACACGACTCAGAGCATGATTTGAAGAGGTTTTTCATCAATGATGACCGCATCAGTTATTTGGATGGCAAGTATAAGGTCGATCCAAGGTCCTTTGAAAGGGCAGAGCATGCTCGAGAAGAATTGGAGGATACGAAGAAGGAACTCAAGAAGGAACTGGAATCATATGGTCCCAATGGACCCAGTTGGGATTTTGTCACCTTCTATGAAGAGCTGTGCAGAAGGTTCCTCAAAGGAAGAATAGAAGAACAATATGGAACCAACTTATTGGCCAGCTCAGAGTCCTTGACGTTTTTATCCTGGAACTATGGCAACATGGTGCGTGGTCAGAAGTACACCACACCAAGGTTTCTCCAAGGACTTGATAGTGCAATGAGGCCACGCAAACAGAGCGCCATGTCACTTCAATACGAGCAATTTGAGAACAACCTTTTCTTCAATATGCTCTTCTTTTTACGTGCACATATCGTGATTCTCCAGGAAGCTCATCTCCTTGTTCCTGCCAAGGAATTCATTGAGCAAAAGAATTGGACAGTTTGTTTCAATGATTGGGAGAATCTTGCAGTGATGGCTAGATTGGCACCAGGTGGATATGTCAAGATCATTGCTGGACATGACCAAGACCTTGGTCATTGTGAACAGCGTGATGTAACTTGGGCTATCTACGAGATTTGTTTTGGAAAAACAAGGCCTCGTCAAGAATTCAAGGATGCAGACTTTGAATTTGATGACTATGGTCCTGAGGACCAGCGTGTTCCACTTACTAGAGCGAACATGCATACCATCAGAGTCTGTAATTATCATGTTGATACACACCGTGCTGTGGATGCCCACCTACTGACAGGAGAACAGACAGCACTGATGCTTTATGAGTGTTTTGTCTATGAGGTGGACATCATTTCTGGTGATGCAAATAGTTTAGCCTACAGAATGTCTGGGTACAAAAGGCAGCCAATGGCTAACTATTATTACAGCACCATGCAGCATTGGATCCGCAGATTTTCAGAAGCCCGTGTAAAAGCAGATCCTGGTATCAAAGCACCTATTCCCAGAACATTTTACAGTTCAACTTCACTTGTTCTCAAGCAGTGTGAAGATTACTTTGATAAACTCTGGGAAGAATACTCCACAATAGAGAAAGAAGAATACCAGGGATCACAGCTTGGAGATACATGTTTGTCTACCATTGTTGAATGGGGTCATTCGATGAGTGAAGAGGAATATGAAAATTCCACAGTGAGCACGAATCATCTGTAATTTTTCAGAGAACTTTGCTATGATTGACACAGAGGTTATGTGCTCAAGGCCCACTGACGAGGACAGTCATGGTCCAATGTTTATTTCACTCAGACCAGCTTCCTCTTCATCTGGAGACAGAAGACAGTATCGCATGGGAGCAACTCTTCATGAGGCGAAACTGCGGAGGAAGGAGAAACAGAAAGAGAATAAAAGGAAAGGTAGGCCGCCAACTTCTGATCAAGCAGCTTCATCGACTGCAGCGGCATGAAACTCAGAGCGGAAGCTAACTTTTAATGATGGCTAGGAAGTGAGGATACTTCTGATTACAGTTGATACCTTGCTTCCAGGCTTGACTTTAAGTTGCCAGGCTGAAGTTTTAATAAATTCTGGTTTGCAACGAGGAGAAACTTTTTATCAAAGAAGATACTCCTGCATTCCAGGTTTATACGCTTTAGCATGCAGATAGGTATGGACAGTTTTGCATAACTGATGATATCTATCACAGCCGCTTTTTCTGAGATGACCTCTAATGGACAACCATTCATGGTTGATGATTAAGTCATTTCATAAGTTTGCATTTGTAGTGCAAGTTTTGTACATACATTTGCCGGTGTCTCCTTCTTTGTGTTTGTGATGTAAATGAGAAAGAGTCCTTTTGATGCAGTTCCATTTTTATTTAAGTCCTGTGTATGGAAGCGGCCGAGACCACCTTTAGAGAAGAACATTCCTCGGACCGAGAGTTGACGCTCCTTGCATTTTGCAAGGCATCCTAATTCATTGCAATTTGTGCGGTCTTGAATTTTTAGTTCTTCGTTACGCGAGTGTCGTTTACTGCTTTTACAGGTCTCTGTGTAAGAAAGCCGCTTTCCCTTGAATTTAAGTTTCTTTAAAGCTCTAGCTATTTAAGGGCTATTGAGCGCCGGTACACGGTATCTTCGCCGGTGAGCAATACAGTCTCCAGCCGAGGTACATTGTCTTTGACTTTGTATTTGAGGTGAGTCAGCTATTGCTCCCTCACTGTATTTAGTAACCCTAGAGATTACCTTTTCTAAAGTGTGAAACACACTGGAATTGGTAAGTACAGGGCACCGTAGTTTCCTTTTAGAGCTTGCTGGACTGCTTTAGCCTTGCGGTAGAAAAGAGTATGCGACATACGCAATAGGCAGGAGTGGACATGAATTTTGTGCCTGTTGAAATGTATAGGCATACCTGTACAGGTTCCACTCCAGTGGCCTATCTAGTGTGTCCATGCTTGACTGCCATAAGGCTCAAGAGATATAGGATAAGACTCTGCGTGAGCAAAAGACACTAGCGGTCTGCACCTCTACCGTGTACGCCCTAGTCACTCTTTCACCCCCTCCCCTCCACTCCCTTCCCGTCCCCTCCCCTCGTCGCCAGCACTACTAGCATTCTGGACATAAGGTGAAGTCATGCGTTTAGCAGTCACAGCAGTACGACGCTGGCCATGAGGTTGCGCAATACAGCACGAACCCTGCGCAATGAGGTCGCGCAATGCGGCTTCGATGCCACTCGTGCGCACCCGGCAGCCTGACACAGCGCGTACTGCGTTCACAGACCATATTGCTCGACACCAACGAGCATCGATGCAACGCAGCCTTTGTGCAAAGCCCTGTGGAGAAACCCCTCGCGTCGCGGAACACCATTCGACTCAGCCTTACACCTTAGCGTGGCGAAGTCCTTCCGCATCGTGGAGCACACCCACCATAGCGTGACGTCCATCCCTGGCAGTACCGGCCGCACCCCTCCAGCACTATCCTTACAAGGGGGTTGGTCACTGCGGCTTCGACGCAACGCGTGCAGGCCTGTAATCCTGACACAGTGCGTGCACATAGCTGCATGGTACACATGCGAGCGTTTACGCATTGCGACTTTTACGCGCGCCTGTTTTCACACACCTTCACACAAACGAGCGTCGATGTAACGCAGCCTCTCTGCAGAGCCGTGTGGCGCAATCTGACCGCAACGGTGTTCCTCTTGAGCCTTCTTGTGCTCTCTGGCTTTGTTGGTTTCATCCATGATTGACCAAGGGGCACGTTCCTGAAACACCGGAGGCAGTCCCTCACCAGAAAAGGTCCCGACAGCTCCCCGGTCCGTCTCTACCTTTCGTGTTTCCCCGCTCAAGTATAATTATAGCAATAGCCTATTCGACAGAGGCAATGAATATTATACATAATTACCTTTAGCCTGTAGAACCTACAGTTTGGATAAACATGCGGCCGCCTCTGACCTTGGAACACCATCTCGCTCAGGGCAGGCAGGGGCCCCGAGACGATCTTCTTGGGCGGCTCCGGTGATGGCGCCGGCCCACGGGAGGTGTTGCGATGGACGCTGGGACGCATTGATGGGGATGTCTTTGGGTGTGTTTCATGCCTCTATTTCATGGTGCATCACTCAATCCATTCTAGGGATTTCTGATGGTCCCAGGTCATGAAAGACAAGTCGGTTCTTTAAGGTCTCGAATGAATCGCCACAAAGAAGGATCGCCTCGACATGGCAACATGTTCGTTGGTCCTGATGTTGACCCACCTGGTCTTCGCAAAAGCGTTGTGCTTCACAGCCTTGCCGAGGAGAAGTGTCCGAAATGTGACCATGGTCGACATCGACTACGAAGTTACAAGATTTTCCCTGGAATGGATGCCAACTCTCTCGAATGGCAGTTTCAAGGACCCGCGATTAAAGGTGGTCACTGGCCCCTCGGATGCACGACCATGACAAATGAGACAGAGACAGCACAGTGGGGAATCGCGCAAAATGGAGGACACGGGAGGTCTAAAATGAGAGAGAGAGAGAGCGGGAGAGATCCTGTAGGAAGAACTTGATTAAGACACAGAATAAGGATCCGGGATCCCCGCAAAAGGAACACACGGCTAGACATAGAACCACCAGATTGAGAGAAGGTGCTGGCGTTACTATGGTTTGCTTCATGGCTTCTTGATCCAGACGCCTTCAGCGTTCTATCGCTGCTGTCGCTCAGGAGATGCGATGGCATTTCTGCAGGAGCTGCCTGAGGAGACCGCCTTTGACGTTTTAATCATGGACTTCCCAGATGTGGCTGACAGCCAGGTCTTAGAGAAACTCTACAGCGCCTCGATGAACTTGATGACATGTATAATCATAAATCATGCATGTATAAGATATAAGTATATGTAAGCTTAAGTGTATACAGTATATATGTATATGGCATAGTATATATATGTATACATTACTGTATACTCCGACTCACATCATTTCATGAACTGCCTAGCCCTGGAAGGTCAGACGGTTTCCGGTTCGAGCTCTTGTATCAGTTCCATGCAACTTGAGTCAGAGTGTATAAGCTGAACATTTATGTGATCATGCAGGGATTTTGATAGAGGACCTCACAGTTTCCCAACCTCCTTTAGCAGTTTCAATTGAGCAAGCTCAACACTGGGATGTTGTGCTACACACGTCTTCACGCGCTGATGGCTCTTCAACTGGGTCCGGCCCATCAGGCCCTTCCGAGATCGATCGGCGACCAGGCGAAGACTTCTACCGCCTGTGCCGCCGCCACATGCACGCTGCAAGCGTGCTGGCGGTCCAAACTGGGCCCTGCTCACAGACGACCCGGGCAGGCTACAAAGCCAGATGCCAGATGTCGCTCGGAGAGGGACGAGTCGACTACCCTGTGGTGTCGGAAGTCGACTCCACCAGACGACCAGGACCTCTAAGCCCTACAAACCGTGGAGAAGGAAATATATTTTGCGCGAGTCATGATGAGTAATGAATGTAGCTGCGTGCTGTAATTGCACAATCCTGATGTCATATATGTTTTTGCTTGGGCATTGGGACAAATTGTGCAATCACAACCAGGCTGCAGCAGTCAATCTTGCCGAACATCGCCAAAGTCTTCCAAGAGGCAGATCCTTGATTGCAGAGGCAGACAAGGAAGAACGGTTTACAACATACTGTAACTGTCTTATTCGCTGTCCTGGAACTCTTCGACACAGCAAAGCTGGCAACATCTGGTGACTCAGGAAGTCCTGCTGCATCCGATGGCCACCTGGAAAGTGGACAGGAGCGACTCATTGAGCGACTCATGATCACCCCCCAGGTCACACGCTCCAGGCATTCCAGGCCAAAAATGGAGAGCCATACTGAGCCATATTGTTGCCTCCAGCGGCAGCTTTGGAGAATTGTCTCATACAGGACGCCACAGCCCGACTCCTTTGTAGCATGGAAGCTAGGCTAAAGGAAAGAGAGAGAGAGAGAGACAGAGAGAGGGAGGGGTGCACTTGGTGCTTGAAACATCTTGAAACCCTGCAAGAAAGGCAAGCCGAGCCTTTGTCGTTTCATCCGTGAAAGATTGAGTCTTGCAGGAAATTTCCCTCTGAGTGGTCCAGCTTTACCCTGGCGAGGCCCGCCGCTGGGGTGAACCCAACGTCTATGATTCAATCACCTCAAGGATGTGCGGACAGGAGGATTGGATCTTTCATGTGGGTCGGCCCCCCCCTGGGTTCTGGCCAACCATGTCCACCCCCAAGAGGTTCTTGCAACATCTTATAACAATAATGGTTTATAGTTTTTGTATGTTTTTGTCCATTGCTCATATGGTACTTGAATGATTCATTTGGGATGATTCATCCGCATGTACCCGAACTATCCCAAATTGCTTCCCTGATTCGATGAACGCTCACAATGACTCCTCAGTCAATGTCATTGGGTGTTTTGCTGGTCCACATGTTTGAAGCCTGCGTTCCTTCTCCCAGTCTCACATTCCTTCAGCAGACTACCTGATTTGTCCAATTCGCCAACAACCTGACCGCCCTTCAGCATGTCATACCTGCTTTAGAGCGCCTCAAGCGGGGTCTTTGAGGCTCTCAAGCGAGGAGTTAGACTACAGCAGGGAGGTCTGGCGGGAGCACATCGATGGAGAACTGAGGTGGGGGCTTGGGGATGGTATGGCCGGAGAACCAGGGAGCACAAAACCATGGGATCACGTGCTTGCCCACTTCTCTTCCTTCCGGACTCTAGACTCTAGATGTCCAAGATGTTGCAGATTCTCGTTCGCATTCTGTGTGCCAAGGATCTGTGTGTTGTTCAGGGATTTGTGCCATTCTGTCTTCTATTTCTTCAGGAATTGGTGTGCTCGTTTGCTTTACACGTCAAGTGGTTCTTTTCGCTCCGCTCGTCGACCTCGTCTCCGCCGGCGAAGCACGTGACTAGGTCGCCACACCCAATCGTGCCGGATATGGCCTCTATGTGTTTCACTGCCGGTGAGGGGAACAACCTGAGACAAGGAATACATGCTTCAGAAGACTGCCACTTTGGGGGCGTTTTTCCTTAGCGAGAATTAGACACACTCTCAAAAGAGACAGCTCATTGAGCTTGCTCCGATAGGTTGAGGACAGGAACAGGCTCCAAGTTGGTCTCCAGTTGGAGCGCACTTTGGACTGCGCGCTTGCTTGCGTGCAAGCGAAAACGAAAGGAACATAGACGCACACATGATGTTGTTCTTACCCTGTGTACTTGGCACTTGGCACCTCCTACTTTGCTTTCACCAAGTTGCCCCCTTTGTCAGGTGAACCAGGGGCGTGCAACCCCGCTTCCGTTCCGGAACTCTGAAACACCCACAGCGATGCCTGCCGTCACGCCAGGTACTACAGCGGCGAGAAGCATTGGGCAGCGCTCAACCACCCGCTTCCCCTCGCGAATCGCCCGATGCCAAGTGTGTTTCCGATCCGATGCGCCGGTGTGCCGGTGAACGGCCCGATGCGTAAATGAATGACCTCAAGTGGATGCGTCTATCCCAAGAAAGCGGCATTTCAGAGGTACTTCGTTCATCTATAGTTCATCTAGCTTAATGAAAAGGAGGACATTGTTGACGAACCAAACAGCTGAAGGATTTCCAGCACCATTTGCACCCAGAACATAAAGTATTCCACACGTGGATGGTCTGGAGCACTTCAAGCCTCAAAGCCACAAAAAGACGTTTGGACCTTCTTCCAGTCACTGGTCACCACCCGCCACCATCGCGCCTTCTTCTCCGCGGCGCGTGGCCACCGCGATGAGATCTTCGGGAACTGCTGCGGAAGCCGCCCAAGCCCAAAGCTGCGCGAGCTGCGAACTCCGAGCTATAAGGCTCCGAGGCGAGGCTGGCCGAAGGCGATCTCCAAGTTGGAAGTGAGATGTGATGTGAGGCTTGGAACAGTGATGACTCATCCGTATCAGTTGCAAGTTCCCTGCTGTTGGAGTGACTCAGGCTCGTTCACGACACCCCATGTTCGTTCGTGCCTCCATCGGCGCCTTCGAAGGCGGTTTGACCAGAACCTGCATTCGTCGCAAAAAGGTGTCATGCGGCGATGCATGGCACGAAGTCCTTGTGTATTCGATCTATCCACCCCAAATGATGTCTATGCTATTTAATGGTAAAAAGATGTTCAAACGGGACACTTCTGCTTTGCTGGGGGCATGGCTGTAACTTGGCATCCTCCTCTGGTTGCTTGCTTTGTACCCACCATCATTAGGCCCTAGAAAAGCCCTATAGAGCGCTCACCTGAGTTCACGATCTTTGCTGGTCCTCGAGCATCCGGTTTCTCCAGGTGTTTCGATCCGTGTGTGCGGGTGTATGTGGGTGTGTCAGGAACGAACTTCACATCGATGGAGCATCCGAAGTGGTTTGGATTGGTTATTTCCCGGTAGTTGTTCCATGATTGATGCTTCGCCCGGCGGTGCAACCATTTTTCACGGCAGCATTTGGGCCATGATCACTGCGTCTGTTTTTGTTTTTCGAGAGCCACTCCTTGCAGCGCTGCACTGAGGATTCCAGTGATTTGCGTACCCCTGCGACGTGCCATGAAGTTAGGCGCTTTTGGTTCCCCTCTCCCGTGGCGTTGATGCAAGGTTCAGTCTCACTGGAGCAGACAAAAAGACTAATCGGATTAGAGTGAAGAGTTCTCAAAGACATTGAGCTTGGTAGATTTGCTTCATTTTGGTTCTGCTTTTGACCTAGGAGTTGCAGCCAAAGATGCCACAAAAAGAGACCCAGTTGGCTTATGTATATGTTACAACTTTTGGTGAGTGAATCAGTGAAGGTTTTGGACATCTCCCAAACTCTTGGGGTTTGGGGTTCATCTCCACCCGAAGCGCATGGGTCGGAGGCCAGAAACGGCGTCAGCAAGAACAGCAGGCCATCGCTGCGATCCGAGCCAGAGAGGTCCGGGCGAGTCGTTGGAATCGGATGAGTCGGATGAGGGAGAGAATGCAACTGAATTTTGTTCCCTAGTTTGGTAGCTATATTTTTTTTGGGGTATATAAATGTATATAAATACTATAACTATTTATTTTCAGAAAACGACGTTATGCGGGTGTGGTTTTTACGCGTTTTGTGATTTGTGTTTTTTTTTTGTTTTTTTTTGAAAATGTTAGTTGTTTTGAAGAACGTGTCTAGCAAACATGTTGACTTGTAATGTGTCAAATGTTTCATCAATCTTATTCAATCATACTAGTTCTCATGATTCCCACACAGAAGTCCATCAACCAGCATCTATCAGCAACTCCACGACATCCCATCATACATCACCAGGTCATCACCTCCATGAGGGAGATCTGGTCTCCAAGACCTCCAATCTCAATGAGTTCTCAATCTCCAGCAACTGGGGCCTGGGCCTGGACTTCTCAGGGGGGGGGGGCGAAAATAGATTTAAAATTGGTTGCCCAATCCCACGAGCAATTTTTTGTTTTTTCGTCCCCCGCCCCCTCTCCCGGGGAGGAGCCCGGCAGGCCCAGTTGCTGGAGATTGAGGACTCATTGAGATTGGAGGTCTTGGAGACAAGATCCCCCTCATAGAGGTGATGATCTGATGATATATGATGTGATGTCCTGAACTTGCTGATAGATGATATTTGATGGACTTCTGTGTGGGAATCATGAGAGCTAGCAGCTAGTATTTTTGCAAAAGCTTGATGAGAGATCTGACAGATCAGAGCCATGCCAATTGGATCATTGCCTATCAGAACATGGAGAAGGAATGGGGGATTCAGGCTCTATGTGGTGATGGTGAATGCCTAGACTGTATGGTCTCAATGGTGGAGTGTGGAAGAGTGTCTTGATTTGGAGGTGGGCATATAGTTAGAGAGCATAGGAAAATGGAACTTCCAATGTGGATGAAACGAGATGAGATGAGATGAAGCATTGGGTGCATCAAACAGCTGGCATTGGGGTTGTGGCTGTATGTATGCAATTTCATTTGAGACCAAAGGCGGCTGCATAGACGCAACACCTGGGCATGAGAGATTTGGATCCTGACTTTGAGCAAATTGTATTGCTATACAAGCCATTGAGCAAATGCCCCAGACAGCAGCGCAATATGGATGGTGCTTCGATTGGGTTTGTTTGGCCTCCAAGAGGACATGGGCACCATGTGAGAGGGAAACTTGCTAGGCAATCAATGAGGATGGGGTCCATGGAATGCCTGGTGCAAATGGGTTTGTGTGCATGGTTAGGTGGCCCGATGGAAGATCAGAACCATTTGGGTACAACGTTGGTTGATCCTCATGATTCATGCTATTGGTAGAGCATATTTTTGGCACAATATATTGGTTTACTTTTGGGTGGGTGTTGGTGAGGTCCAATGAGGTTTTGAGCTTGGGTGGCATCACGAGAAAGAATGTCCTTGGTGCCAGGTTTGGTACAACCTGACTTCATGTATGTCTATGTGTGGGCAAGAAGGTTGGGGTGAAGAGAAGGTTCTTCATGAGCTTGGGAATGAGTACACAGCCAATTCAGACCCTTAGTGTATCTAGGGCTGGATCGTTCCATGGGCTTCATAAGGTTCTTTGGAAGATTTCGTCGTAGATGGGGGGATATGGAGCATAGACCTGAAGAGCCATTGGGTGAGAACAGTGGAGATGAGCAGGATTGGTCTAATCGAACTTGTGGGATAGGATGTGAACTCCCAATGCTCGCAGAATGGTTCCCTATGACCTTGAGAATGAGGATGAGGCTTATTGTGGGTATGGGCGTCAAGAAGGCCATGCAAAGCCCAATTCCAATCAGT